CGCCGGGCGCGCACCTTCCCCCCCCCCCCCCCTAAAAAGTTTTTTTGGCTGGGACTTAAGAAGAACGCCATGAAAACAAGCGTTTTTAAGCGAAAAAGTGCTTATTGCCCCCCCTGAAAATTATGGTCCGGCCCGCCAATGGTTTTTCATAATGCATTTCAATAGTAATATGAAATTATGAGTTATATAGTTTCTTTGCAAGGTTAAAGACTACATGACACAAATGTTCGTTTTGAACGAAAATAGATAATTAAAAATAAAAGTCAAAATTTAATATCATTTAAATATATCCTATGTTCTTAAATCAAACTATAAAAAATACTTGAGATCTGAAAATAAATATGTTGATTTTGTATAAAATATATTAATTAAAATATATTAACAAACTTTCTAATTTATTTTTAGTTTTTATAATATATAATATCGTCGAATGAGCGTCCTTAGGCCATCTTTACCTGACAGTATTAGCAATTTAATAATAATCGAACTAATGCTGTTTGGTAAGATGAAATTCAGCTGCTCTTTAAGTTAGAAAAAGAAAAACAAATTTAAGGTTTCTTTATGTGTACTTACATTCTTCGTTTTCATATTATTTTGAATGATGAATAGTGAAGAAATGTTGTCTATTTATACAAAATTTAGTATTGACCAACATTCTCTCTCTCTCTCGGTCTCTTGTCTCTTTTTTTTTTTGTACGATGATAAAGGGCGTACTCTTCATGAATTATATTGACGAAGGATTATCGTTGATGGGCACGAGTTCGTCCGCCCTATCTAACGATTGGATCATTCGTGTTCAATCTTTCGATCCTTTTCCTAATATATACAACAGACAGAGACAAACGGCACGTGTAATTAGTTTGTCAATTAGGTGATGGGTATTAGATATTGACATTTGTTTTTGTGTACATACACGGATGTCGAAGAATATCCTGTTTACAAAGATGTCACATCTTCGTTATATTTACTTGTAAGAATAAGATAATAATTATTTCTTTCGAATGTAGCAAAAAAAAAAAACATTTTTTCTTCCTTTTTGTTGAAAGTAAATTAAATATAATCTTGATTATATTAAAGAATTATTGAGTATTTTAAAATAAAATTCATTATAGGATTTTTCTTAAATAATTTAAAAAAAAAAACAGTATGAACAAGTAAATATTTCATTAAGATAAATTCATAAAAAATTTCATATTTGTGATAGATATTAAGTTTATATGATACGAAAAAAAAGAAACAATTTATTACAAAATCATAATTCTTATATTTATTTCGATGATTTAGACAATTGTTTTTCCTTTGGCAAAAAAACAAAAAAAAAGGTTCAAGTAAAGATCGTCTTAGTCATTTAATCTGTCCATCAATAGATCTTTTATCGTTTATATCCGTTGATATTAGTCAATATTTTTACTACAGACTGACGACAACCTCACGCTCTATGATGTTCGGTATATACAAATATCAAAATTATCGAAATTCAGATAAACACATGAAAGATTGTTTGATCTTTCATAAATTATATCAATTTTTTTTTTGAAAACAATGCTATTTTCAGAAAAAGTAACAAATGTTTTTTTTTTCTGATGTTAATACTTTTTTTGATCATACATCCCAGAATTGTCGAAGAAACTTCATTATAACTGATTCCTTCCTTTTTTTTAGTTTGAAAGAGCATGTGAAGATATAGGGCATGACAGAACCCCTTTTTTTACATAAAATTTTGTTAATATTAGTGCGCTATTTTTTTTTTGAGAGTCTTTCGAGACATTAAACTTTTTTCCTTGAAAAGAAACTAAGGCTTTGCTATGTCCTACATCTTGAGACTCTTCTTCAGACAAAAGAATATAAAATATATAGAATGACGGTAGACACAGTATTCTGGATTATCAAATGAACTATTTTTCAATTTTGAATATTTCCTAATAACGTTCATGGTATACGACTGAAAATTGTACTGTAGTCTCTTCACAATAGCTTCAACATATGACGAAAATTTTATCTAGCTTACGATCGATTTCTGAGGAATGAAGAAGTCTTCAATGGATATATCGTTTACTAATTGGTTTAATCATATATTAATCTGTTTAATATCTAGTTATGTGAATCGTGTAAAAGCACTTAAGAAGGATTATATGATTGTTAGAAATAAAAATTAAGTCAATTACAATTCAAGTACTTGTAATTTGAAATGCAGAAATTTATGTTGAAGTCATTTTTAATGCATTTCGAAATTGAAAACTTATAAGATAAAATATATAAGCAAAAAATTTTTGTTACAAGCTGATCAACATCAGTTAATATGCAACGGTTCAATCCGAAAAATACAATTTGAAGATTTTCAGATGATATCATAATTATGATTTGCATCTAATTATACTATTGATGGATTATTTTAATTTTCATGTTTAAATCTATATAAGTAGTTATTGTATAGATATATTGATCTTTTTTTTTCTCAATTATTGACTAAATAAAGTTTGTATTCATAGTTTGAGAAATTCAATATGATCTTTTGTTCTTATGATTGCTAGAACAAAATTTTTAATTTCGTAATTTAATTAATCGTATTGATAAAAATTTGGAAATGCATTAAAAACGAGCATGAAATTGCGAACATTGGAAAAAATGTGTTTTGAGCACCAAATGAAAAAGAACCAATAAAAAACAATAGAAATTTAATTAATTATTGTATCAAAGAAGGAAAAGACTCGTATTAGACACATGGAAAGCTGCTATATTTTGATATCTTTTATNTTATTACAACGTATTAAGTGATTCAAAATTGAAATACAAAATGTAACCATATAATTTGTCTCATCCGTAAGTTAAGTTTTCAACAAAAACAGTTTCTATCGACATTTTATTATTATAGTACCAGATGAATAGGGATGAAATAGTACAGAAAAATAGAGTTTTGTTTTCTCTATCATTTCATGAAAATAGAAAATTTCCTAAAGCCTTCTATACGACAATAATGTACCTCCGCCACTACTTTTGGGTACCCCTAAGTATTCATTAAAAATTTCATTCACAGTAATTAACATTTTTTCCTATCACTATTTTTCATGCACCCTGAAGTAAAATCATTGTGTTGGACAATGAAAATAAAATTCAGTAAAATTATCACCGATTGATAGAGTTTCTTAGTGATTGTTCTTCAACGTTTTCTTGTCATATTCAATTGAACCAGAATTTTTGTAATTTTATGTCGTTATTTTACTCAGAGATGAAACCGGTCTAGTTTTTTTAGACCCGTACTGGTACCGGTCCAAAACAATAAGACCGGGCCGGATCGGCCGGTCTATCGGTAAAACCGATCTAGACCGGTTCGTCGACCAAAACCGATTTACCAAAAAAAGTTGATCTGACCGGTCTACCGGGCAAAACCAGCCTACCGGTACTGAACAAGATGCTGATGATACGTCAGTTTAAAAAAGAAAAACCGACCTACCGACAAAATATCGATCTATAGACAACAGGCTAAGGCTTGAAATGAAGCCTTGTTTCATAGTGAACTCTCTTTAGGGCTAACTTCGTACTTTCACGCATACTGACATAATGTTTTCCCGTTGATAACAATAGTCTCAGTGATGGGTATTTTGAAAATTTTTTTAAAATAAATTCCTATGTGATTAGTGGAACTAGTTTTGGTGTCAGTTGTTTTTTCATATGATTACCGTCATAGAGCGGGAAAGTGAAAAATATAGACCGGTTTAAGGCGGTTTCGATCGGTCAGACTGGTTTAAGCCGGTTTGGACCAGTCGATCCAAAGTCCAGACCGCACCGGCCGGTTACCGGTACCGGTTCCATCTCTGATTTTACTAATTGGAATTCTGCGTATTATTATTTTTTGCAACAATCACGCTATTTCGTGCAAAACTGTAGGGTGTGGACAGTTATCCATAGTTTATGGCAAAAAATATCCTAGAAGATCCTCTCATATTCGGATAGGTCATAAAAGAATCGTCATTTTAATTTATCTTGAAGTTCCAAGTTTGATAGAAATTATCTTAACTATTTTGAACTAAGTGATGTACCTTCACTTTTTCACTTCATTCTTTTTTCTTTTTTTTTGCTTCTGTGTGATGAGCAAATCAAAAACTTCGAGACAATACTTCTTTGCGAAGCGCCAAGTGACAAAACTCGAAGTACATAAAAACACTGTCTTCAGGATTAAACTACAAGAAAACGCATTGGCACAAGGACAGCTTAACTCATTATTTGCATGGACATTATCTTTCTTGTTCTTTTTAAGCATTTCATATGACATTATTTGAATCTCGAGTTTTAGTCGACAAGTAGCAGATATGCATGTTTTTTGGTCGGATGAACTAGCTAGATATGTTACTTTATTTCTCTGGGTGATGGGGACCTAGTTTTTGGAGGAATGCACAGCTTCCTAATAATAGTTTCTGTAACTAGACAAAAACTCGAAATTATATTACACATGTCACTTCTGATTTAGACGTTGATATCAAACACATGGCATTGCTTCTCGTGGTCTACATTATCATTGGATTTCTCTTGGCTTGTGTTGCATTGATTTACATTACCCTGGTTCGTCCTCAAAAACATGTCTACGATGTATTTAAAGTCCAAGGTATTCCTGGTGAACCGTTTATTCCGGTTATCGGTCAATTGCCTAACATGCTTCGTGCTAGTAAGATGGGAAAAGGAGTTGACTATTTCGATGATCTTGCACACAAACACGGGTATCGCTATCTGGTAGGTGTTGGCCCATTAATACGTTTAGTTCTACTTGAGCCTGATCTGATCGCTGACTTCTTAGGTCGTTCAAAGTGTGAGAACTATCGAAAACCAAATGATCTAACACTCATAGTCAAACCTCTTGCGGGTGTTCATAATCTTCTCGTTAGCGAAGGCGAAGAACATCATCGTGCACGAAAAATGCTCAATCCAGCTTTTCATTTTCTTAAACTTCGATCTATGATACCAATTATGGTGAATGAAACGGCAAAAGCGATCGATTCTATTCTAAGTATGTCGTCAGTATCAGATCGAATCGATGTTGAAACTCAATTTAGTGCTTTGACTCTTTCAATTATCGCATCGAGCGCCTTTGGTCAAGGTCTTGAGACGATACCACATGCTAAAGAGATTATTTGTCAATCATTTAATAATGCCAAAGATGTAATCGAATATCGAGCACTTCGATTGATTGGCCTCGTTCAATTTCTCGCTGATTTGCCATTTTGGGGTAAAAAAACTATCGATGAAGCAGCGAAGAAACTGAATGAATTCGTCGATCAAGCCATTACTGATAGACGAAATGGAAAGTCAAAGAGTTTATGTTCTGGCGAAGATATTCTCGATCTACTCTTATCGGCAGTCGATGAAAATCATAAGGGTTTTAGTGATCAACAAATAAGAGAAGAAGCATTGACTTTCGTCTTGGCGGGACATGAAACAACAGCAACTTTGATGGCTTGGACCATCTATGTTTTGATGACTCATGAACAAGTTTTGCATGCATGCCGTGAAGAGGTCGATCGTGTTTTACCAAATGGAACTATGCCTGATTTCGAGCATATGGCTGACCTTTCAGTGATTGAGGCTGTTATCTATGAAACTCTTCGTCTTTATCCACCAGCACCATTTTTTGCTCGGGAATGTATAAAAGAGCATACACTTGTCAGTTCAGATGGAAAACTTGAAATGCACGTGCCCGTTGGAGCCATGATTTTGGTACACAATTATTCTCTTCATCGACGTGAAGAATATTGGCCACGTCCTCTTGAATTCGACTATACACGATGGATGCGTGATTCGATATCCGGTCTGAAACCGAAACTTCCTCATCCGTTTGCCTTTCTTCCATTTGCTGCAGGTTCACGCAATTGTATCGGACAAAATTTCGCAATACTTGAAGCGAAAATCATTCTTGCCATGTTCGTACAACGTTGTGAGTTCATATTATTACCAGACCAACACATTACACCAGAAATGAAAGGTGTAACCATCAAAGCCAAATATGGTCTGTTTGCACACATTAAACAACGCCATAATTAGTATGTTATCGTTGAGAATTTTTTCAATAACTTTACTTATGTACGATGAGTACTTTTTTGTGTGTTGAACCCGCTTTTTTGTAAACATTTATGCCATAATTGTTTAGCTTAATTTAATATATATGAAAAATTAGAAAAACTGTTCACTCAATGGAATCAATCATTCTTGAAGGTTTTCACGTTTGAACTCAATAATGCAGAGTTTATTAATCTAAGTTAGGATGTTGCATGAGAAAAAATCCACAGATCATTATAGAAACACTCTGATTCAACGAGGTTTCAACAAAACACTTGGTAACATTACACAGAAGAATTTTTTGTCATAAAAGCTTCTAAAAAGACCGAGAATTGATTTCACACTAATATTTGACGTATGTCCGCTTCCAGTCAATATTCAATACACACTTTTTTTTGCTTCTATGTATAATAATGCGGTTGAAATTATCAAAAAAATTAACCTAGCCGTTTGAGAACGTCTTAACAGTAGGACTACATCATTTAAAGAAGCATCCCAGGCCGAAATCACCCTGTCGGATCCTATCGGATCCGACTAAATCCGTTGGTATAAAGCTATCTATAAATAGTTTATTTTATTTATTATATTTTTATTTTTTCTTATTTTATTTTATNGCTTTGTCTTTGTTGTTTTATCTTTCGACATTGTTTTTCAAAAATAATATACATTAACAATCTCGAAAAAGAAAACGAAATATAATTTACGACCACGAACCGAAATTGGAACCATTTGTTTTTCATTTTTACTAATCGAAGTCATAATTGAACCGACGATTCTGATTCCGAATATTTTTTGAAACCACTGGGCTCTAGTGCTCATGGATATCTAAAGCCAAGTTATAACCGTGTCAGTGAATCTTCGATCCATTTTTAAGTCTACTTTGGTCGAAGAACAAGGTCTCGAAACATAAAAATGCCGATTTATATAAATTTTGAGAATTTGATGTGGGTGAAGAGAAGACTCCAATACCCTTATCTACATTGATACAAGCATTTGCTAGAGTAAATCTCTGTGACAAGCGACTTTTTTATTGAAAATTCAATATTTTTGTCGACAAATGAACATTCTTTACTGTTGAAGCTTTCAGTATATTCCCAAAATCATTAGATAATATCTATGGGCTGAATTTCGCACTGACTTATTGAATCTTGTTTTCTTTCTCATATATGTTTTATAATATTTCATTATAATCATTTTGTATTTAATTGTGAAAGTATTGTAATATTAGATGATGTGTTGAATTTTGAAATTGCTTCTTGTTGTTCTTTTTATCTTGTATTTTCAATCATTTTTTCTAACGAAAGTGGTACATATTTTGTTGTATTTGTACTAATCAGTAGCTTCACTATTCTTTGTCGTTGTTGCTATTGTTTCATAAATTGTTGATTCTCATTCCTCAAAATCATCATCAATCAGTCAAACCGCATACTCAGATGATTTCAATCGTTTAGATTATGAATTTCAATGTTTCTTTTTTCATTTCCATAACGATGTAATCGATGAAGACCATATTCTCCATAAAATTAAATTCGATAATCATTTCAAAAACAAATTCAAGAAATATATCTTTCTTTATTTGACCAGATAAAGTGGTCAAAGGAAGTGAACCAAAATTATCGTCAACCAAAGTATAATCCATTAGTCCACATTTTACCGACAAGTGTACATATGTGTCGCACAATAACTAGTAGATGTCGTCAGATATATATGAAGTGATCGAGTAAAATTTGACGCGAGTTCTTAAGAGAATTTTAACTCATAGAGCTTTGACAAACTAATAAGCATTTTAACTTTTAGAATAAATAGACTATGGAAGATGCCTGATCAGTCTAGTCAATATGCAGATCAAATTTGTTTGTCTTTAGCTGATAAATCATTACTCGCATTGACAATACGTTAATATCGTACAATCGAATAAGCTTGAACAAAATTAATTAAAATCAATGTTCTAATATCTGACGTTTTATTGATAAAAAATAAGAACAACTTGATGTATCAGAGTAACATAGACACTCGAAATGACATAGAAAATATGAACAACCAGCAAATAATGAAAAATAAATAACCGACGATGAAAAAAAAAAAATAACCGACAAAAAGAATTTAGCAAGTCAAAGTAAAATAAAATAGTTGACTATAGTTGCAGTTCAGAATATCTTTGTTTCTTAAGTAGATGATTTCAAAGGTTTAATCTAAAAATAAAAATAAAAACTACCTCAATAGCTAGATTGGAAAAAAAAATATTGTACGGATACCAAGTAAAAGCGACTTCCATCTTGAATGAGGATTTGTTCAGCACCTTGTACTTTTGAATGAGAGATGATACGCATATTGGATGGAACAGCATCGCTTCGATTCTAAACCAAGTATAATTAGAAACACAGTTTGATGTGAAAAAATAATAATTAAGAAAAATAATACAAGTCGTATTAAGAATTCTATAAAGAAAGACAGTAAAATTTGAAATATTACGAAAATTATGACGTCCAGATTATTTTTTATTCGAAAAACTTGAAGATCTATCTGCAGTTATAAAATATTAGTCATTAATGCAGCTAAATTTACCTGACGATGAAAACATAGTATACTACCACTAATATTAAATAGATCAATCATTTTTAAATATGAGATAGGCACTGTTTTTGAATATGTATCACCGGTGTATTGAATGAATTTGTTTCCCTCTGGTTTAATGACGGCAATAGAATCATTATAACGACTAAGTAATAACAGAGCAACTGGTTTATAAGAAGATTTGATACCATTTGAATCAGTCAATTTGATTTGAAGTTTGAAGATATCTGTAGGCAAAGAATTTCGATCCATGAAGGTCTAAATGTTTAAAAAAAATCTCAATTCATATATAATATAGATCTTAAAAGAATAAGTAAATTGAACAAAAAAAAGATTGCATTGCCTTCTTGGAATTTGTTTCGAAAATTATCAATGATAATTAGAAGCGATGAAAAAGTTAAGAACACATTTAATAGGATTATAATTATTTTATGTAAAAATACGCATTTTTTCGAAGCATTCAACGGAAAGAAAGTATTTTTTAATCTTAAAATCCTACCACCATCTTTTAATGAAGATATTTTCTAAAGACACATGAATTAAAGCCAAACAATAATAACACTTACGATTAAACAAGCTGGGCACTGTGTAAAAGTTTGTTTAAATACATTCAATTTTATATTTTTTGTTACATAATTACAATTAGAACAAATTTTTTTATTATCTTCTATAGTATCAGTCTTAGATACCACCGGATGTGCAATCCATTCATTGTTCGAAGTTAGTTTGAAGATGAATATTTGTTTAGTTGATGAGAAGAGAGAATTCGGTGTACCATGACATGAATGGCAATAAAAGTAACTTTTTATATCAGCAATAAGAGTATCATTTAGTGTTCTAAATGAATCATTTGTTTCGATGGCCAAGCAAGCTTCTTGAAGAGTAAGAGATGACGGAATATTATGATAGATCGTCGAAACTTCACTTAGTGAACACTGGTTTATTGCATGAATAAAATTCAGTTTATTATCATTACGGACTCGTTCAAAAATCAGAATGCCTGAAAAAAAAATTGTCGATTATTATATGAAACAAAAATACATAGTTTATTTTTCTTCAAATGTCAAATAAAGTTTGAACATTACATCTTGAATGTTAAGTGTACCAAAGCTCATCAAAAAATACAATTCATATAAATGAATTCTTTCAGATGAAACCAGTTTTGAAATCTTCAGACGCAAATATATTTCATACTTACGACTATTTTTGTATAAATGTCTAAATTGTTCACCGTGTCCAATCAATCTATTGTTAATGCTTGTTGACCAGCTTTTTTTTATTTTTGTAACTCGGACCATTGTAGTACTAGTACCTGATTGAATTAAACTATTAAAACATATTAAATCGTAAATGAATGCTGATGGAGAACCAATTGCAAGCCAATTCGAGAAGTGATTGAGTGAAATAACATAAGTTGGTTTGAGAAATTTAGCATGTGTTTGAATATCATTAATATTAATAATCAATACAGGCGGCCATTGCACGACTTCAATATTACGTATTGTCGGTTTATTGCACAAGGAACAAAGAAAATCTGATTGAGTTGGCAAAAAAAACGAATAAATTAGGTGTTCAAGATTTAAACCTGTTTTAGTTGTATTGACTGGGATAGATGTTATTGTCATCTGCATTTTCACTTTAGAATCACAGTACTTGCACGAATAGATCTTATTAACTAAAAGATGACAAGGTAACAACGGTATAAGAATCTGCTCCAGAATATATGCAGATCGTTCAGAAGATTCAGGTAATTCTTGTGTTGATAGTGTTGATGTAATATTTGCTAGATCACCGTCACTTGCTGTTCCACTGGTCCATTTATCGACAAATGTTGAAATAACATTAATTAATTTAGAGTTACAGAATAATGACGATGATAAATTATCAAGATGACGAATATTATTTCTTGTTGAAAGAATTAATCCAACAACAGTATTTAACCAGTCAGGTGATAACGTAGGTAATTTCAAATCACAATTAACATCATTTTTACATGTTAATAATGACGAAACTAGATCTGTAAATAGCGGCTCGTCAGGATTTTTTGTGTAATGTCCATGGCCTCTTTTACAACTCGATTGTCGCCATCGTTCTTCGATTGGCTTTAATCGAGATTCTTCTAACATAATAGAATCCGTATTATTCGATTTATTAAGAGACTTAATTGAATATTTAAATAAAGCATTTGAGAATTCATCGATCATTGTTATCATATCAGGAATCAAGATCGACAGTAAAATGTCAAGCCTAATGTGTATTCTACCACCTACAACCAAACAAAATTATTTTTATGCGATAGGCCACTATGCCTCGCTAGCTTATTCATTAAATCATCAATATGGATGTTATTTTATCCATCCTGTGCATTTAAGAAAAAGACTAAATATGAATAAAGTCTTTTGTTGTAAAATCAAAAAAAAAAAAGAAATTCTTTTTTATTTAAAAGTTTACAAAGTAAATCTAAATAAAAACAATGAAATATTTTATTTATATTTTTTCAAGATGAAAAATTTCTTTGTTTTTATTTTTAACGAAAAGATATTATTTATATTTATTTGAAAAAGGGAAAACGAAGTAACCTTACTAGTCATAAATACTTGATCAGAGAATCATGTGGGGTTTTGTCGCAATATTAACAGCCTCATTAATGGTGACTAAATTACTCGCGCCATTCTACTTATTTATTTTTCATTTTTTAATCAATATTCTTATACCGAACTAAGTTCGATAATACCGCTAAGTAACTTCAACATCTTGATACTACTGTTTGCTTTGAAATCTCGTACAGTTTCTCTTTCATAAATAAACAGTATTTTTTTCAATATTCTTCTGATTCACAACACTGATAAAACGTTAACTTTACCTAATTGCGTACGTTTCAAGATACACATACGTCTCTCACTTATAGCTGTGGTACGTTGTTGAGGATGGATCATTCGTAACCGTTCAAAAGAATGAATAAGATGGCAATAGTGTCGGCTAAGGTCTCCTTCAAGAAGAAATATTACATAGACATATGTGACAGTTAAAGAAACTTACCCAATAGCAAATTTGACCAAATGGGTAATGTTGGCATAAAATAATTCGTCAAATACTTAAACAAGTTTAAGATACCTTTCCGAGTATTATCAGCTTGTTTTTGTGATGATATACCGACAAAAATAAGTGCATCATGATAGATTTTATTAATTTCAGTTTTAAAAGGCGAATCAGTACTATTAGATTCTCGTTCTTCATCAATTATTTTCTATATATAGTAAATAAAATATTGGTTAATTAAAAAAATACTTTGAAAAATATCTCTCTCAAAAGATCTGCCTTAGTTCTTGATTTCAAGTTAACTTAGTCATTACAATAGTTTTCTAACCTTAGGTTTTGTCAATCTTGAAGGCCAATTGTTTAGTTCATCACCATCATTTTCTTCTTCATCACCTGACTGATATGAATAAATATTTGATGTTATTGTTCCATTTACATCACGAATGGGTTCAGTTAATTTAATAGCATCTACAGTATTTGGATCTGATTTAATATCACGTATCTTCTGGAGTAAAATATCTTTATTATCTTTATGAGTAACACCATTGGCAGCATACAATTGCAAGAAAACAATACAAAATAATTTCCACTTTTCTTTGAATTCGGACCAGGTCGAAGTGTTGATCAACAAAGCTATTGACCACATACATAGCTCCTGATATTCTTCATCAATGTACTTGTTAATAGTTTTTCTTATATCCTATGTAAAGTTAAATGATTAAAGAAGAATGAAAAAATGTACTCACAAGTAAAACATGTGCGATGCAAGCGTGAACGTTGGTTTTTTGAAGATCTTCATAATCGGCATTACCATTAACTATCCTAAACGCACGATTAAGAAAATCTTTCAATGATTCGTTATTCCAAATATGAAGAGCACCAGTTAGAAACACTTGGGCTCTATCACTGAGCACGATTTTTGGTCTTGGAAATGGTTTTCCAGGAAACACCTAGATAGGAACATAAACTATAGGATATAATCAAAATGATATTTTACATATTTACCTGAGAATAATCATGTTTTAAATTTTGCAGCCAATGTATCACATCAATCAACCTATGGGCAGTACTGATCATAAAAGCAATCGGTACAATTGAATCTTCGGAGACAATCCCAGGCAAAGTAATACTCAGTTCGTAGTATAGCAGCCGAGGAGAATTTTTTCTGTCTTGGATTATGCTCCCTGTGGCATCCCACGACAAAACTACGTTTTTATTTTTTATTAAAGTATCAAAGAGTCGGATGGAGGACTCTGTATATACAATAATTTGACATGGATGTTTTGAAACGACTTGAATAGCACCTTGAACTTTTCCAGAAATGTTAATTTCATTTTTAAATCGTTCATGTAATTTATGTATAGCTTCATCAACATCTGAAGCTAACAAAGCTTCATTAACATTTTCAGATTTTATTTTTGTAAAAATATCTCGACTTCTACCTATGCCATCGTAGTTATATCCTTTTATTTGTTCACTTGTTCGTTTCTGTAAATACTCTTTATGAAGACGATAAACACTTGCACCAGCAGAAAACTGTTTTTTGATAAGAGAACGTATTGGTTCTCTAATCGGACGACAAATTTTATATCCACGAGGATGAACAATTGTTGTATTAGTGACATTAATATGACAATTGCCATTGTTCAGCACAACTATTGAACATGAAAATGGGCATCCTTTGTAAGATTTTACATGGGATGTTCGACGGCCAATACAATATAGCATACAACGTAAGAGTTGGTTTAGATTACCAGTTCTACAACCAAAACTACAATTCCGAACACATAATCCACAATATGGATTGACTCTCCTGAGGTAAGGTAAAAGAATATATAAATATTCAACGTCAACTCTTGATTTGTTTTTCTCTTGATGTAAACCAAGTAAAGAATCTGAAAATGTCAAAGAAAACAGAACTACCAGTTATACAATAAACGAACATTTAAAGTGACTTATTTTTTGGTAAGAAATATAGTTTATTAATTCTAGTGATTCTACTTGGATACTGTTTGAATTATGAGTCCAAGTCATATCTTAGGGCACAACTATGTTAAATTATTTTTCATTTCTATATAAAACTATTTTTTCTCATTTGGATTAAGAAAATTAAAGACAAAGTTAGAGCACGTATAATGTAAATTCAATAAATCGAATGCAGCAAACTTTTACTAAAACGTTTTTGTTTTACCTGATCCGATAGCTGAATTGTTGACCGAGCTACTTGTTTCTTTAGCTTCCTTTGATAAAAAAATTTTTTTCTTTGGTTTGCCATTAAAATCAAGAAATAAACCCATAGCTTCACACATACGATCATGTTTCTTCTTAAGTTTTGTTGTTTGAATTGATTTAAGCCTCACGAGATCAATTGGTTCCAATTTAAATTGATATGAAGATGATAGTTGAATGTGAAAATTATCATTGTCTTGTACATCTTGATTAGAAACATTTTGAGGTGAAACTAAAACAATACATGTCAAAATAAAATAAAATCTTTACATAAAGTTTCTAAATTAAAAAATGAATAAGTCTAATGCTCAAAATTTCTTGTTGTCTGTTACGTAAAGATAATGTAGATTATACTTGGTTGAAATGGATGCTAACAATTGTCTCATTAGAAAAACAGTAAACTGTCAAATGAAACCATTTAAATGTATTGAAACTAACCAGTACTCATTTCTGAGCTTATATCATGCAAAGTTGAATCAATCGATGATTCAGAAAAATCGTCAACAAATAAAACTTGTTTTTTTGTTGATACCCCACTATGTGGTGTTTCAAATTTTAAAGATGAACGTGATGGACCAGATGACATTAAACAATCTACAATATCAATAGTTTCTTTGTATTGAAATTGTTTCAACGATTACTTGAATATTCGCTGTTTAAGTTCTTTCTTGGTATGATTTCAATTCGACTTTCCGTTTGAACTTCAATTGCTTCTGCAATATCTTCTTGAAATAAGTGAGTTTGTAATGGAATGGCATGTTTAAGTGGTGCATTACTGTTACATGTATCTTAAATTAACAAAAGAAACATATGAAACATATATCAAATTTGTTTTACTTTCATGTATATTTAAAGAATTTATTGTCGAATTACGATTGTCGTCTGTAGAAACTTCTGTCTGCAACTCATCATCGATACGAGAAATATTTAATGTAAAATTTTTAGCAATCTGAGAAAAAAAATTAGAAAAATAATAAAATAATATTTTAAAATTTTTCTCACCGTTGTATCATCATCAAAAGTTTCAAGATTTTGTTCACCAAGATGTGCAGGAGTCGATGATAAAATTAAATTTGATAATTTTTTAAAAGGCGTACTACATTGTGATTCCCACAGAATAATTTTTTCGTTTGTGAATTTGGTATAAAACAAAATGTACGAATCATTATCAGCAAGCACTTTAGATAAATCGATTTTTGTAATTAATTCATCATCTGCTTTGTACCACAAAGCATCAGGAGACTTAATATACGAATGTATATGACCACTATTAACCGTCTCACCAATATGTACTACTACAGCATTTAGTTGATAAATAAATTGATTTATTTGACAATTTTCTTTATCTGATTGCAAAATTTCTTTGCTAATACATGATGTAAGATCAAGAATTTCCGGATAGGAGATATACTTTTTTACTTTACGAATGTTTTTTGCTTCCTTGTCATAAATAAATCGTTTTAACTGTATACAAATAACGGGTGATGCATCGATAATTTGTGTTGTTTTTAATGCTATTACATTCCTTTGACATTGTGAACAAGTAAATAGATCATCACTACCAATATCTTCTGTTGAACAAAAAGCACTGATAGCTTCTTCAACACTGGAATAAAGTATAATAGGAATTGTCCAAATGCTTTCATAATTTTTTTGCACGGAGTCATTCAGACATTGAGTACACTTAATTGATGATTCTATTGTGATACCGAATATAAGGTGTATTGGATTTGTTGAATGTGTTGAATAAGATGGACTATCACTACACGAAAGACATTGTGCCAAATGATCAAGTAGAATAAGTAAAAATTCAGATGGGTCTTCTTGGCGACCACTAATGAAATTTGAAGATAAATTGGTAATTTGCTGAGCCATGGAGACAGCTGATGCTTGTGATAATTCTCGAAACGATTTACATGGATTATCACTATTTATATGAATATTTTTGATAATTGAACGAAGAATGCAACAAGAACAAAATTCATTATTAATCGTGAATGTACCTACAAAATGAAAAAAAAATTTTTGCATAATATTAATTACAAGATAGTAACTACAATCCTGATGAAACGAAAATTCAGGTCTTAAATATAAAGTAACACGCTTCTTTATGTTTGTCGTTGTCTGATCGCACAGCTTTCTTTAACATCAATAACACTGCTCATTTACATTTCATTTCTACTTCTTTTAAAATATTGAATCTTTTCTTCTTTTTTTTCACCGCTATTAAGCTGATACATATTCTCAAACAATTTGGAACATTCAAAGAGGTGTTCTAATTGCTATGCATTCATATTCAATAAAAGAAAAGAACATTCGGACATTTCATCTCATTCACTTTAGGAATAATGATATCGTTACTCGTCAATTTCCCTTCCATTGATTTGAGTATTTAGAAGAAAAGAAATACTTCAAATTTGTTCTCACACCATGTATTACTTGTTATACATAAATGTAATTAATCAACATGTTGTTGATACTCTCGTTATGTGCAGAAAACAGTGTGACTATTGCTTTCGTTATTTCGTAAGTGTAATTGAATCACATGCATGCAGTATATTACAAAAACGTTTAATTGAAACTGGAGAAATTATCTTGTCTTTTTTCCTCGTATTGCGTATTGAACGTCCGATTAATTAAAAGACAGTCGCACACTTGCATTTTCCTCTCTGATTTAATGAATTCATACACTGACGAGCAGCTGTCCACATCAAAAGAATCATTGAAAGAACATGAAATTAACGACCATTACATTCAAAAGAATAAATACAATTGACTATGATTACGAAAAGTTTAATCTAGTTCCAGAACAAAAATGAAAAAAAAAAAAATTTTTTACTCTTTAAAGCAGACTAAGAGAAACAGTCTGAAACGTCTCTTGACTTAATTGAACTTTGGTGAACAATTGACATAATTAGAGATGATAAAGACGTAAACACCATTTTCTAGAAATTCATTTCTCACTGCAACAAATACTTCATGAAACAACTTGAAGTTTTAAAGAAATTGCCAGTCTATATAGGATCATATATCTGCGAGTGTAAAAAGTCATTGACAAAATGACGACAACGGCAACAACAAGTAATTTAGCACATGAACAGTATGAAGCATGTTCTACGAAGATGAAACTAAATTTTTCTTTTTATCTATGTACTGAAATTAAAGGCAATGAAATTGATAAGCGGTGAACTCAGTGATCTTGAAGTAAATGAAACTGAATATCGGGATGTTTTTGTTGATGGTGAATGTATAACAATATGAGCATCTCTTTGAATTTGCCGATTCCTTTGAAAATACATATTAATAACTTATTCACGTTGACAGAAATGAAAATTTATACGTTAAAAAAATCATATAGAAAACATGTCTCATGTCAACGATCATAGACGATGACATTTCTAATATCAAACAAGATAATCTTTTAACTTTTATTTTCATACATCCTTCTCGCTAATATCTTCTTTTTCAAGTCTTCTACTGTTTTCATTTCTGTAAAGAATCTCTTGTTTAGCAAACTATTACATTTATGATGAATGTGATCATCCAGAAGCCATTGCACAAATGGAGGAATATTTGCTAGACATTGAATGATTCCATTGATATAACAAATGTTCAAACATTTTTTAGCTTTATCTGTATTATTGAGTCCTACGCCATGAACATGTGTGATTGACCACTCCATTTTTAGTTGAGAACGAGTTATTGGTGTATTACCATGGAAAAGTTTCTTGAAACGTTTCATTGACGTTCCAACAAGCTGTTGTACATCAAAATCAAAACTAACTGAATGTAAATTAGAACATAAAGTAGTTGATAAAGAAACGAAAATTAAAGATTTATTTCATCACAAATACCAGTGTCATTATGTTCATATGAAGACGGTGAATGAGAGACTATTGGCAATGATGAACTTTGTCTCTCTAAAATTATTGTATCAAAAGAAGTCGAAAGTTTTTACGAATCCTACTTCTTTTTAAAAGAATATTTTCTTCAGGATGAACTGACGATAAAGCATTAACATCTATAAATATAGTAAATTTTGCTTAGTAATTTGAAAAACTAAAGTATGTATATTACCCAACTTGTCTCCGATCGAATCAAGGTTATTCCTTTCTCTTTCAACAGATGAGACTGATGGTCGAAGAAAAGTTCTTGTACTTGAATCAGTCTAATCAAAAGTAACAATCAAAATATTATACAAATAAATTGTGATACATTAACTGTATCAATGGTGAAATCAGAATCTGTATTAGTTGTTTGTTTTTCACGTGGATTAGGTGCTGCAATATTAAGAAAAAAATTATTTATTAATTGTTGCACATCTTTAGTATTTTGAATATCATGTAACAATGAAAAAGGTATATGATGTGCCACAGCCACCAATGCAGGATTAATACCACCTTCAATTTCTGTCACACATTGTTGAATAGCACCTTGAAATTTTTTCAATGATTTTCCAAATCTTTTTCTTAAATCTGTAATGTCACCGTATATATCTTTTTCTATTTGATCTATACTTATGCGGTGCAAATGTGCAACAATATCAAATGAACATGATTCACCAATAGCTATCCATGCATCTAACACAGCTGCAGCTCTATTTTGAACACGTTGAAGATGAGCAGGTAAATGACCGTTATGCTTTGCGCCATTGATCGTACGAATATTAACTGAACTCATTCGAAGTTTTAGAAAAAAATGATCTGAAGTTTAGAAAAGAATGGTTCAAAGTTGAAATCATTTGCAATAGTTTGTATTGATGAAAAAAATTCCAGATAAACAGCAGGTTGAATGAATCATTTGCTATCTTTCGATGAGTCAGTGATTCACAGAACGAAAGAAAATGAACAACTAAGGATAAACTATGGACTCGAATACAATTGGTCACTTTAGTCTAAGTGAAGTGAGCCACATTTCTTTGGTTGACGTGTTTGGTTCACTTTCTTTGACCTATCGTTTGCTATTGATTCAATGACTTATCATCCCTTGTTGACGACGACAGATGAAGTTTATGTAGTTTATCTCGAGTCACTATCTCATTCACGTTATTTCTATCACTTTGTATACTTTTTTCTGCTTGCGTAAATTACTCCAAGATCATAATGGATGGCGATGTTACTGCAGACATCAATTTTTTTACTCACACAACAGACAGCTCTGGTCCATGGATCGACGTAGGTACAATATTATCCTGTGTTAGCACAAATTTTGCACGGGCACCTTGTCATACTATCATCCATGATTTGCGGGGCAAAGAGAACATGTTAGATCTCGACACAAATGCTTTTGAGGTGCTCAAGTACGAAGGTCAAGTCCAAGACGAATTCGATGAAGCAAGCGAAACACAACGAGCTTACTATGATGAGATTGCTGCTATCCTCAAAAAACGACTTGGTGCGTCTTCTGTGTTCATCTTCAACCATTTCTTTCGATCACGAAATCACTTACTCTCGGAAGATGAATGTGATAAGACCCATAGAAATCCTCTGCTTTGGCTACATGTCGACTACGATTCCGTTGGAGCTCAGTCGAAACTCGAACAGACATTCGGCAAAGAAAAGGCAAAGCAATTAATGCAAAACCGATTCCAAATAATCAACGTGTGGCGACCACTAGGTGTCAATACCATAATGAAGAAACCACTAGCCCTTTGTGATTATAGCTCGATTGACACAAAAAATGATGTTCATCCACTCGAGATTCGAGGATCCTTTGTTACTGCATCGGGTTATACGATATCTCATCATGCTCGGGACGAACACATGTGGTATTACATGAGCCAGATGCAATCTGACGAGATGTTTGTCTTTAAAATTTTCGATACCAAGCCCGATGTCGCCCAATATTGCTTTCATACAGCTTTCATCAATGAACATGCTTCTCCATCAAATGTCCAAGAGAAAAGTATTGAACTGCGTACTTTTGTTTTTTACGATCAATAATAAATAGGCAGGTTCATTTACACATGTGTCGAATGCAAAGCCTGTATTCTGGTATTGGGGTGAGATATTTATACATTTCGAACATACTAATCAGTAGAACATCGATCAATCGAGTCAATTTTTTGTCAAAATTTGATCATTAACATGAGTCGAATCTCTTGAAAGGATTCTTAGTGAAATTAATTCAAGAAATAATGAATCCAACAAAACTTGAAACAATCCATGAATCAATAAATGACAAACGGGGTTTTGTAAATATCGAATCATTCTGTTAAATGAAAATTAAAGAAAAAGGAAAGGGTGTGGGGTGCGGGTGGGGGTGGGGTGTGGGTGTGGGTGTGGGTGTGGGTGTGGGTCAGCATAAAAGAAGAACAACACCCCACACACACCCACACACACACCCACGCCCACACCCACACCCACACACCACCCACAACCGGCTCACTGGCTCCCTTGAATGGGAACTTACATCGACATCATCCGCCAACAAGGCGCTAAAAGTTGTGGGTCTATGACGATTGTGTGTAGGACAATTGTGTGTACGACAATTGTGTGCAGACAATTGTGCGCATAGACAATTGTGAGAACGGACAATTGTGTGTAAGACAATTGTGTGTATGGACAAT